AATACAGAATACGGCCTCAACATGCTTACTTTTGTCCTTTATGAGACTATTTCCATGTAAAAACCTGCTTGGCTGAGTTTACTTAATTGCTTTTTGAGTTAAATATGTAATTGTCATATTTAATAAACCTTATTAAGCAAACATTTATACCTAGAACATAAAATACAGAGCTGAGTTTATGAACTCAAACCCTCATTTGGCTACTTGTAAAAAGAATGGGTTGTTTTCCATATATTTGAAACCAATGCAAATCTGACAAGCAGGCTAAACCTCCAGTTCTTACTTTCCTGAGAAACAAAAAAAGGTTATAACACTGTCAGTTGCGTACTGAAGCTATTTCCGAATGATCAATGGCTCTGCTTGGAGTGCTGCCGCCGAGAAGTCGATGGAAACGCCGCTGTCGATGTTGTTGCTTCACCGATTTCCATCTGCGTCGCTTCTCGACAGTCTATAAATACATTTTTAATGGTCGCCAAACTGATCTCATTGCAGATGAAAATCGATGATCAAGACAGCGGCAAGTCCCCAGTGTACTGCACAAATGAATACAATGAATAATTTAGTCTTTCACTCCAATCATATCTCCATTAACTCTTTAAACGCTGCCTCAGATGTGTCAGAGATGCTTTTAAAGATTGCCATTCATCTCGTTCCATATGGATGAGGGCAAAATAAGATGTTTCCCTGTTATCGATCTGAATGTTTTCTTGCTTTTGAATATGCTGGTCTGTTTTATTGGCGAATATCATGCGAATTTGTTAATATCAGCACTGTTAGAACTAAACATATTAGTTCATTTGATTGTATTATTTATCGGTATGCGATTATTTCAATTTGTGATTTTTTTGCTTCTTTTTTTATCACACTTTTCAACCAATTTGTGAATATTTTGACTATAAAACATTTAGCATATAATTTTTTAATAGAATACATTTTTTAAACATTATTAGAGATGTTTTTATTTAGAAAATATATATTTTTCAATGTTCAAAGTATTGTTAGTTAATGAAAAAAAAGTGTATCCCAAAAGAATTGAAAATAAATATTTATCAGTATTGTTGTCATCTGTATGATTTTTATTTGTTTTATTTATTTATTTATTTATTTATTTTCAAATTAATTAGTTGAATTATTAGCCCTCCTGAATTATTAGCCCCCCAGTTTATTTTTTTCCCCAATTTCTGTTTAACGGAAGATTTTTTCAACACATTTCTAATCATAATAGTTTTAATAATTCATTTCTATTAACTGATTTGTTTTGTCTTTGTCATGATGACAGTAAATAATATTTCAATAGATATTTTTAAGACACTTCTATAAAGCTTAAAGTGACATTTAAAGACTTAACTAGGTTAACTAGGTTAACTAGACAGGTTTGTGTAATTAGGCAAGTTATTGTATAACGATGGTTTGATCTGTAGACAGTCGGAAAAAAAATAGCTTAAAGGGGCTAATAATATTAAAAACTGCTTTTATTCTAGCCTAAATAAAACAAATAAGACTTTCTCCAGAAAAAAAATATTATCAGACATACTGTTTAAATGTCCTTGCTCTGTTAAACTGTGTAATATATATATATATATATATATATATATATATATATATATATATATATATATATATATATATATATATATATATATATATACACAGGAGCGGACTGGCCATGATAGCACCCGGACATTTCCCGGTGGCCTGACGGTCAATCTGGCCTGCAACCGTGACTCTGGCCTGCCGCCTCCCACCACCAACACAATTTCTAAAATAGAGGAGCTCTTAAATAACCAAAACACACTGCATAACCTTCATTTACCTTTAAAAAAACATTAAAAAATAATTTAGGATAATGTTATCTTCAGGGAACTTCCTGACCATAGAGCAATACATGCCACTTTTACAAATTAATGAAAGTTTAAAGCAATGCGTTTGCTACTTTTTGACTTTTTAAAAAGTAAAATGACTATTCATTCAGATTATCCTCTTTTTATTTGATTCCATGTGTTCAAAAAATGAGAATATTTCTGTTGCAGAAATGTAAGGCTCTACCGTCTTTATTTCTGCCTGTTGCTGCATTAGCATGTGTGATTTAACTTGACTACGATCATTTTAATTCAATTGATATGAATTGAATTCATCTTTATTATTATAGCACTTTCACAATGTACAGTAGATTGTGTCAAAGTAGCTTAACATAAAAGCTCTAGTAAATGGAATGTGTGTGAGTCCAGTTTTCAGAGTTAATGTTCTGTTCAGTTCAGTGTAGTTTCACTGCTGAAAGTCCAAAAACACTGAAGAGCCAGCCTGATCTCACGAGAAAACGTAAGTATTTTACCTTTTGCCAGTTTAGTGGCTAATTCGTACAAATTCGTACGAGTTCAGTCGTAGTCAAATTGTACGATTTTAAAAAGGAGGCGTGGCACCTAACCCCACCCCTAAACCCAACCGTCATTGGGGGATGAGCAAATCGTACTAAAATGTACGAATTAGATCATACAAATTCGTACGAATTAACCACTAAATGAAAAAGTTACGAATAGCAGTGAGATAGAGCAAATCCATCGATGTGCAGCTCCACAAATCCCAACCAAGCAAGCCAGTGGTGACAGTGGCGAGAAACAAAATTCACCAATTTATTTTTTAAAAGCTAATTAATTCATCTAAAATGCAACTCGCATTACATTTTTCAAAGTAACTCAAATATTATTACTTAATCGTTTTTAATAAATAAGTTACGCCACTCATTACTTGGAAAAGTAACATTATGTAACTTGCGCTACTTGTACTTGTTACCCCCAACATTCTATCAGGTAAATGTATAAACAATACTGTATAAAGCTAAATCTGTTAAAAAAAATTACAATGAACACACACATATATATATTTCATTGGATATCCTAGATAAATAAATAGATATATTTATTCATTTATTATTATTATTATTATTTTTACAATTTACATTGATATCAAAGTGGTGATTTTAATGGCACAGGCTGCACTCAGAAACAGGACAGACATTCATATCCGCTCTGAGCTCTCAGGCCAGATCCTCACAGCTGTCAACACACCTGTACGTCTGTAAATAATGGCTTTGAGTCAAGGGTTAATGACAGATCACAGAAGTGTCAGTGAGCTTTACTGCACAAAGGACACTCATCTTTAATGACTGAGACCTAATTGCTTGTTGACAAGTGGTTTGTTGATATGTGGGAGAGAGCAGATAGCTGCAGTTGCTGGTGTGAATGAAAGCTTTGAAGGCTGAAAGTGGCTTGTTTAAGGTCAAATTGTAGTTGTTTTTCTTTATTTTTTCTTAGTATTTTGCAAAAAAAAACAAACATAAAAAATACGAAGTGTTTCTAGAGTTTTATTTGTTATCAAGTTTTTAAAGGCCGTTTTCTCAAGATGTGTTTATACTCCTACATTGAGCTATAAATCTTCACTTTAGATGTGCTTACAAAAATCAAGTTTTACATTTTTATTTGTGTCTAATTTTATTTCTTACTTTTTTGTCATGTCTGTTTTCTTAAGGTTTTTACTTATGAATATACTTATACAAACTTTCCCCGATTATATCTTTTATTTGACATGATGTTTATATATATATATATATATATATATCATCTGTTTCTATTCTGAAGTGAGAAATTTGCAAAGTCCCTACTTGAAAGAGAGGGATGGATGGATGGATGGATTAATGGACGGATTGAAGGAAAGAAAGATGAGAGGGATAAATAGATGGATGGATGAAAAGAAGGAAGGAAGGATGGTTGGTTGTAAGGAAGGTAAGATGAAGGGATTGATGACAGAAAAGAAATAGAGATGGATGGATGGATGGATAAATGGATGGATGGAAGAAAAGAAAGAGGGAGGGATGGATGGAAAGAAATAAAGAGGGAGGGATGGATGGCAGAAAAGAAGGAGGAAGGAGAGAGAGGGATGGATGGATGGATGGATGGATGGATGGATAGAATGAAAGAGGACGGGGGGAAGAAAGAAAGAAAAAAGAAAGAAAGAAAGAAAGAAAGAAAGAAAGAAAGAAAGAAAGAAAGAAAGAAAGAAAGAAAAAAGAAAGAAAAAAGAAAGAGTGAGTGAGTAAGGGATGGATGAAAGGAAAGAAAGAAGAGAGGGATGGATGGATGATTGATGGATGGATGGATTGAAGGAAAGAAAGAGGAGAGAGATGGAAAGATGAAAAGAAAGAGGGAGGGATGTTTGGAAGGAAAGTAAGAGGGAGGGATTGATTACAAAAAAAGAAAGTGGGATGGATGGATGGATGGATGGATGGAAGAAAAGAAAGAGGGAGGGATGAATGGAAGGAAATAAAGAGGAAGTAGGGAGGGAAAAGAAAGAAAGAAAGAAAGACAGAAAGAAAGAAAGAAAAAAGAAAGAGTGAGTGAGTAAGGGATGGATGAAAGGAAAGAAAGAAGAGAGGGATGGATGGATGATTGATGGATGGATGGATTGAAGGAAAGAAAGAGGAGAGAGATGGAAAGATGAAAAGAAAGAGGGAGGGATGTTTGGAAGGAAAGTAAGAGGGAGGGATTGATTACAAAAAAAGAAAGCGGGATGGATGGATGGATGGATGGAAGAAAAGAAAGAGGGAGGGATGAATGGAAGGAAATAAAGAGGAAGTAGGGAGGGAAAAGAAAGAAAGAAAGAAAGAAAGAAAGAAAGAAAGAAAGAAAGAAAGAAAGAAAGAAAGAAAGAAAGAAAAAAAGAAAAAAAGAAAGAAATGAAGGGGGAAAGAAAGAGAAAAAGTTTTAACTTGACTTTATCGAATGTTCAGATTATTGTATGCAAATAATGAAATAATGCCTGATTTGCACATTTAAGCTAATGTAAAATCATTTTTAATACCAAACACACTTGCAGTTCCTAATGTAATAGATCAGCTGCGGAAGTGTGAGGATAATTAGTTTTTGTAGATAATTGGTTTTTGATTAGTTTTTTTTTTTACCCTAGATATATATATTGACCACCTTATTTCAATCTTCTCTCCATAGGGGGCGACAGGGAGCGAATGACATCCAATCATGAGACATATCTGCTTATGGCCAGCACACAAAATGACATGGAGGATTGGGTGAAGAGCATCCGCAGGGTGATATGGGCTCCGTTTGGAGGAGGTGAGCTGCTGCAACCAGTCTGTCAGAATTATTCAGCGTTGGTTAATGGATATAAGTTTTAAAACTGTACTTCTGCTAACAAACCTTGCATGAGTACTCATCGCTGCATGAGAACTCATCGCTGTAAAGTTTCCATTACAAAGTGTCAAGTATATCATGTGAAAAACAGCAGCCCCAGTAATTTAACCATATTTATTTGTTTTCCCCCTTTCTGCAAATATTTACAAAAATATTGAAATACTGAAATATTCATATCCTAATTATATCATTTATTTTCTGATATTCAGATTGATATGTATCTGCAACAACTTGTATTTCATCATTTAAACAGCTTAAAAATGATGATAATATCTATGATAATATGATACGATATAGGATATCAAATATGATGGGTGCTGCCGTGTTAGTCTGCACTGCGGGGGAGAGATTAGAGCTGCTGGATTTACAACATGTCAATTCATCAACCTCTCCAAATATAGATGAAAGTAAGTGGGAGAAGAATAAAGAAATTGTTCTAGTAACCTAAACAGTGTGTATATATTGTGAATAAAGCACTTAATCCGATTATATCTAAAAATGACATATTATTGCCGTCTCTATAGATCATCAGCCATAAAGTTATGTTTAACTAGAACTTATGTGGGTCTAAGTGTATGATAGCCAAATAATTTGCTATTTCAAACTCCAGAGGCAAGCCAAGACTGATCACACCAGTGTGATCATACATTACAAAGGGTTAATGAAAAACTGTTGTGAATTAATCTGTCGTAAATGATTCAGTTACTCAAAGACAAAAACGGCAAATAGTCTAACAAGTTTTTGTATTGTTGATATTATGAACTATATCTAACACACTGTTTGTACTGAAGTTTGCTTAAATAAAACGATCACTTTTTAATTTGGAAATGGACAATTATGCTTCTAAAATGAATTCATCTTGATTGAAAACTTTTCAATATTTATGTTGTTTTAAAAAAAAAACTGGTATAAAATTTGCATACCGGTTTTAAGTACATTTTAATTGGTTAATAATAAAGAGAATTGACAGCCAAAGATTAAATGAATGATTTCATTTGAATAATTTGCTGTGGGTTTTGAGGACACACGATATATCGGCGATATATTGGCCAATAAATGCTATTTTAAATTTTATCATTATCGCTCTGATACCTAAATTATTCCATTATCTTTAAGCTGATCATTTTTATTGATAAAAAATTATGATAATTTTGATTTTGGTAATTTTTCAGTGACTTGGTTGCTTTGTTTATGCATTTATTTTTGCCAGGCAGTAGATTTTGTGAAGTTTATTTCTAAACTAATTTGGATAGATTCATGTGCTTATGATTGTTCACGGCTGGTCCCTCATTAACCACACTGATTCACCAATCAGACGATTGCTAACTCTCTATAAATAATCAGTTTCTTATCTCAGTATCTTCGCCTTGAAGAATCCACCCCTCACCCAGCCCTACTCCCCCTCCTTTCTAGATGGGCGACACGGTAACCCAGTGATTAGCACTGTTGCCTCACAGCAAGAATGTCTCTGGTTAAAGTCCTTACTAAACAAGTTGACAATTCTGTGCGGAGCTTGCTCATTTTCCCCAGGTTCTCCAGTTTCCTTCCATGGTCCAAAAACACGCAACCTAAGTAAATTGAACATACCAAATTGGCATCAAAGTCAAGCTCTTAGCAAGCCTTATATATCCTTCGCCATATTATTTCTGCCAATAGCCATGAATAGGTTGGGGGACTTCTCGAAATCTACCTGAGCTCAAACTCCCATCTCGCCCTGCTAATGGAAGGAGTCCCAAGCTCGAGGATCTTATAAGCTCAGGGCTCTCTCCCAGGACAGCATGCCAAACAAGCTTATTACCAATCATCAGCTAAGTGTGAATTCTTGAAATTTATATTAAAGTAAGTTGCCCACAGAAAAGTATAATTAAATAAAAAAGTAAGATAAAATCAGTGGTTTAATTTATGTGTTTGCGTTTTGTTTTTGCAAGCATGCACTAATTGTTGAAAAATGTATATTTCTATTTATTGGTCAATATATCGGATATTGAGATCTCCAAGAGTTATTGGCATCGGTGAAAAATTCCATATTTGTGCATCACTAGTAGTTTTAACTCAGATTGTGGGTCTGGATCACAGTGCATCGAAAAATAGAACAGAATGCATATTCACATATTGAAAGATTTCATTTTACACAAAAATAGAGCCCATTGGGTCAGTTTAATTGACTCTCGGTGTAAGTGGTTTAATTACTGCTGGTCATCGACGTCTCTCTATGAGCATGTAAATGAGTGATTTTGTTCAATGCTGTGCGGGTATGTTTGGAGGTGCTCTTATTTTTTCAGGCAGAAACCTCATTAGACTGCCCATTATTTATTGTGAGTTTAAAGCTGAGCTCAAGACTGGCTCATGCTTTCATGTCTGTCTGAATGATCACACTGCTGTACGTGTGGGCAGAATTCAACTGTTCGCACTAATCACCACATGTAACTCGGCCTGAAGCCAAGTGACACAGACTGACAGTATAAAACCTGGAGAGACATGTTGTGGATTTTACAGCTTGTGCTACATGATGTTGCATCAACTTTCCCCCCGCAGGGTTTGGCTTTTTTTGGAAATACAATATAAATACACTGAGGCACACTGTGTTTTCACCCTCCAAAAAATCAACCATTGTTTACTCACCCTCCTCTTCTTCCGAACCTGTTTGAGTTTATTTTATGTGATATATATTATCTGATATTTTCAGGGTCAGTTCAAGTCTACCTCAAAATTTAAAAAAAAAAATATACATGATGAGTGTAGAACTCTCTAAACAGAGGATGGAGTAGGCGAGGCAGGCAGAGCAGGGGAAAAAGAGGGGAGCAAACAACTGTCAGTTGGCTGAAAAAAATACTAAATAAAATCAGACACTAAATGTGAAACCCATCCATGATTTTATAGTTTACAATGTTAAAATGCAAAAAAAACAAAAAAAACTGTAAGTAATTTAATGCCCTGCTACATGTACAATAGGTTATTCATAATTTCATATAATATATACACATAAGTGGTGACCTATGAAATAGAGACTAAGCCAAAGGAAAATTAATGAATGGATGTATACAGAAAGACAATCACGTTAATATAAACTTTCTAAACGAGGAGGACTTACAACAGGTCTCTCGCCCTATCTATTTCAACCATTAGCCCTGCCGGTAATCTGTATGATTTTAAACACACAGTATGTGAATACAGCAGCACAGATACAGACGATGTGTCTGAATAGTAATAAACTCAACTAATAAAAGACAAAGTCCGCCATTCTTGAATTCTCATACAGCTCTCCCGACAAAAATGCTTGCTGGACACAAACAGCTTGGCTGTATCGACCCTGACAGCATTGTGGGGAAAACCATGCAACAAACTCCGTGGATCATGGAAACAAACACATACGACCCTTCATAAACAGCTATATACTGCGTGCCGTGCCCGGTCTCGGTCTCTCAGCTTGGCAGGTCTGTCCTTGAAAAGCATGAGCTTTCATGAATAATTAAAAAGCAGGCTCTTCTCATAGAATAAGAAAATTCAGTCCATGAATAATAACTAGAAACTGACGCGTCATCCCTGGACAGGCAGACGGAAACCTAGAAGATGAAATTAGCTGACAAAAGCTCAAAACTATCCAGTTCTCTCCACAATTAAAGCTAACGTGGGCTAACATTGTCTTAATTGATGCTCAGCCCACACAAATCTGGTAAAATCTCAAAAAAGTACTTGAGAGTTTCTTGAACCTTTAGGGATTTTGAAAAAAAGAAAGCCATTATCTTATGTAGTGTTTTTTTATTATTATTATGGATTTCAGTGACTAACAGTTTCCAACAAAATACCAGTTTTTCAAAAGATCTTTTTTGTGCATTCAACAGAAAAAAGAAACCCATATAGATATGAAACTACTTGAGTAAATGATATGTACATTTTAATTTCAAGGTACATTTAACATGTTGGCGACGCAGTGGCGCAGTAGGTAGTGCTGTCGCCTCACAGCAAGAGGGTCGCTGATTCGATCCTCGGCTCAGTTGGTGTTTCTGTGTGGAGTTTGCATGTTCTCCTTGCGTTTGTGTGGGTTTCCTCCGGGTGCTCCGGTTTCCACCACAGTCTAAAGACATGCGGTACAGGTGAATTGGGTAAGCTAAATTGTCTGTAGTGCATGAGTGTGTGTGTAAATGTGTGTGTGGATTTTTCCCAGAGTTGGGTTGTGGCTGGAAGGGCATCCGCTGCGTAAAAATGTGCTGGACAAGTTGGTGGTCCATTTCCCTGTGGCGACCCCAGATTAATAAAGGGACTAAGCCGACAAGAAAATGAATTAATTTAACATGTTCAGATGTGCATCTTCAAATTCTTGTGTTCAAATTTTGTTAGAATTTTCCCTCAAAACGACATCAAAAAATGGCAAAAATGCAAATCAATATGATGTCTACATTAATGTCAAAACAACATGAAATTGACATTTAACCATCATGAGAAAAACTATTGATTTTTGAGGTGTTTTTTATGCCAATGTTAGATGTCAATCTGATGTCATTTTGACATCAGAGTAGTTTACATGCATTTCCAGCACGTCAGCAAATTGACGTTGTACCCATTGAAATGAAAATTGAAAGTTGACATCAGAACCCAACGTCAGGTCAATGCGACAGACGTTGCATTTTGGTTACTTTTTAACGCAACCTAAAAACAACAAAATATCAACATCTAATGATGCTACAACTTGATGTTGTGTGTACGTTATCAATATGATATCTACCAGACAATGAATTTTTGTTGCCATACCTGACAAATAATTGTCAGGTTTAGTTTTTTTGGGATTTTGGTCACTTTTTAACAGAACCTAAAATCAACAAAATATCAACATCATTTCACATCATTATTGGACGTCAAATAAACATTGTCCTTAGATGCTGGCGACCTAAATCTAAAAAATCTACTGGGTTGTAACTGCCATT